GTTTGCTCCTCTCCTTCAAACGCAAAAGAAAAACTCCCTCATTGGTACGCAATCCCCCACACACATCCCCCAATCCCCAAATATAATCCACTCTGGAACCCTCATTCCGTACTCTTACGATAAACATATATTTTTCCTTTTGTGCCTAATTTAGTTCATTCAGCATAATGCTTACTAGCCTTTCCCATGTTATATAGTATTTTTTGTAAATCATTGCTCCTCAGTGCTGCATAGGATTCCATCTTGTAAATGTACCATAATGTCTCGATCCAATCATTTGTTGATGGACATTTGGACTATTTCCATGTTTTTGCTATTGTGAACAATGCTGCTATGAACATAAGTGTACAAATCTCCATTTATATCTCAGCTCTGTTTTCCTGGGGATATATTCCAAGCAGTGGATTAACTGGGTCACATAGAATTTATATGTTTAGCTTCTTGAGGAAATGCCAACTGCCTTCCAGAGTGGTTGTACCATTTTACACTTTCACCAACAGTGTATGAGAGTTCCAGTCTCTCCACATCCTCTCCAACATTTACAGTTTGTAGTTCTATTTAACTTTGCCACTGCAATTTGGGTGAGTTGATATCTCATTATGGTTTTTATGTGCTTCTCTCATATTGTCAATGATTTTTTAGCATTTCTTCTTGAGTCTGTTGGCCATCCGAATGTTTTCCTCTGTGAAAAGTCTTTCCATATTTATTGCCCAGTTTGTAATTTAGTTATCAGATTTTTCCTTGTGGAAGCCCTGTAGTATTCTGGAAATTTTTGTTGAAACCCTTGTCTGAGATGGCATTATCAAATGTTCTTTTTTTTCCCCCAGTCAGTAGGTTTTCTTTTCACTGTATTGAAAAAAGTCTTTATGTGCTCATGGATTTGATAATCTTTAGAAGGTCCCATTCATCGATGTGATCCTCTCCTTGTTGTACAATAGAACAATTTTAAAAATACTCTGATATCAGTTTTACTTAGGTTAATCACTCTATATTAAAATACTGTTCAAAAATAAGCTGTTATACAGGTTTTCTGACTTAGAATAAGTTTTGTTGGGTTTTATCCTACCAAATCAATAGTTCCCAGAATGCGGTTACTACAAGACTGGTGTCAGTAGGACTTAAATATCTGTAATATGTGTACATTACTGGGTCCCACCCTAGACCTACCTAATAAATCAGAAATCCAAGGGACAGGTCCCATGAATCTATATTTCAACAAATCCTCCAGTGATTCTGAAAACTGCTGTACTAAATTTTCCCCCAAAATTTGATCACTACACCACATGCAATGTCTTACTTTTTCTAGCCTACATAAATGAAATGCCATCTGATTCTGTGATTAACTGGTAGTGAATGAGAACAGCTATGTGGAAGTGAATTATATTCTATTTTGGGATACAGATTTTCTGTGCTAATTATAATTCTAATTAGTCATAATACTTGCACTTGTGTAAAATTTTATAACATTCTATGCATTTTTAGACATTACCTTATATGATCTTTCCAACCAAAGAAGACTTAAGTAGATTTTTAAACACTTCTCCTTTATAAAACAGAATTTTACTTAATGACTCCCCTTAGAAATTCCCAATCTTTTATTTCTTACTTCTGGATGAGCATGCTACATGGTCCATTTCACTACTATCAGAAAAATGAGACTTTACATTTGATTATAAAGTTTTTATATTATCTAGTTTTATGTTATATTTGTTGATAAATGATAGCATTTTATCAATTGAAAATGAGAGAGAAGCAGAAGAATCAGTTACCCTCTTGGTCCTTGTTACTTCTAAGGAAAGTCAACTCACTTATGCATTGTGTTTGTACTTTATTCACCTAAAAACAATTATATCTTAAATCCTGAGAATCACGTTCATTTTTTTTAAAACCCAGAAAAAAACTAACATATGAGCATCGAGCTGAACTTAACTATCATTTTCATTTCTTTCAGAGATATCTTCTTTGGGCCAAAGATCTCTTTTGTGATTCCTTGCAACAATCACTGAAAATCTTCCTGTATTCTGGAGACTATCATCCCTAACTACCCACAAGTTACACATCACCAGCATTTGTAGTTTCTATCCAGTGCAACAGAGAGCAGATTCTATAGATTCAAGTAAAATTGTGTTTTAAAAGTAATAATAAACTTTAATCCAATTTCATTTTTCTCTGTGAACATTATTGGTGACGCTAGTTTGAAAATTTTGGGTAGAAATGTTTATACGTTAGGATGTTCACTATGATCGTTAAAGCATTCTCCCACCTCCTTTGATGGCTAGTTGACCAGCCATAACCTCAAAGATTGAGAAAACTTACACTTCTTAGTTGATAGCTGTAGACAATGTATACTTAATAAAAAGTAGTCCTAGGTATATTTGAAGTTCTGGTTAGGAAAACTAGCAGTTTTCAATTGAGAAAGAAAAAGCAATGTTTGAATACATGTGTACCAAATACTTTACAGATATTTTCATTTCAGTGTCTTAAAAAACAACTTTGAGATAAGTATTAACAGATTCTCACTATCAGATGCTAACTTAAGTCTCTGAGAAGCTGGATTCTGTGAAGAGGAATGTGGCATCAGGATTGGAGTGAGATTCATCAACAGCCTGCTTTATGTAAATGACATAACCTTGCTTGTTGAAAGTGAGGAGGACTTGAAGCTCTTGTTGCAGAGCATCAAGGAATGCAGCCTTCAGTATGGATTGCATCTTAATGTCAAGGAAACAAAGACTTTTACCACTCGACTGATCGACAGCATCATGATGGATGGAGAGGAGAGTGAAACTGTCAACAACTTCATCTTGTTGATCCACAATTGACACCCTTGTTACCAACAGTCAGGAAATAAGGAGACACATTGCTATGGGGAAAATATGCAATTAGGGACCTTTCCAAATTATTAAGGAATAATGATGTCCGTTTGAGGACTAAGGTGCATCTGATTAAGGCCTTAGTCTTTCTGATCACTTACTATGCATCTGAGAGTTGGACAATGAATAATGATGCTAGAAAAAGAATTGACGCCTTTGAGCTATTGTGTTGGGAAAGAGAACTGAACACCCCAACGTCGGCCAAGAGAATAAAGAGACATGTCCTGGAGAGGGTGAAGTAGGAGAGCTCTTTGGAGGCAGGAATGATGAAGCTTCACCTCACATACTTTGGGCATGTTGCTAGGAGGGGCTATTCCTTGAAGAAAGACATGATGCTAGGAAGGGTGAAGGGTGAAGGGTTGAGGAAGGAGAGGAAGACCTTTAACCAGGTCAGTTGACCCAGTAATGGGCTCTTGCGTGGCAGGAAACATGAAGGTGACAGGATAGAACAGGGCTCAGATCTTTGGTTCATAGCGTTGCTATGAGTTGTACTCGACTCAACAGCACCAAACAACACCAACAACAACAGCTTAAGTCTAAGATATTTACTAAAAATCAAGACACATTGTAAAGAATATTTTAATTACAGCCATCTAAATAGCAGAAAACAGGACATGAGAGTGCAGGATAATAAGCATCTCCCTGAAAGGGACAGAGAGAGTGAAAATAGCACAGTCTCTCATGGCCCTGGGGCAGAAAGCAGATCGAGTCTGTTGCCCAGCCCTATGGTGTCTCTAGAACCACACCAACAGCAAGAGGCTTGTTTATTTATTGTTGATTCACAGATTCACAGTTGTGGTAATGAGAAAGGGCTTTATTAGGTAAGTAAGTTGGAAAGTGGGGGAGGCAAATAATAATACCCAATCAAAGTCCAGGTTTTAGCCCAAGATCCAAGACACAACTCCTTAATCAGTCTACGTTCTGGTTTCAGTTCAGCGGTCAAATCCAAATCATACAGCAAGGTTTCTCTTCAAGAATCTAGCAAGAACAGTAAGAACCTTTTATTGTGGCCAGTACAAATGCAAGAATCCTCAGGTTGCATCTTGCCACAGTTTTCCACAGCAATGCCACAGTCTCTCCATCACCATCACCAGGGTCTCAGCATCGGGGTTTTGTTGCCCCAGTATCCTTGAAGTCTTGCCATGTTTACGTCTTGCTTAACCCAAGTCTTACAGCCCAGTATGGAAATCACTCTTGCTCTTATCCTAGTCCCACAGCTGCTGATGATATGCAAGAATATGTGCACGCAGTTAAGGTAGCTGGAGACCAGAGGGGGCTAATTGTAGCAGCTTACAAAATCCAACATTTAGGTTAACATCACATAGCATTTATATTCTTACATCACTCCTGTTTCTAAAGCTGAAAAAAAGTCCTAATTATTAATTCCTCCACCCCATTACACTTACAGACCTTTGTGCCTAAACCCGTAACAATTTGTTTTGTGAATAACAAAATACACTTCACAGTAAAAAAAAAATCAGATTAAAATTTTAAAAATAGATTAAAGCAATACTTTCAAAAATATTTTTTGCTTTTAAGAGGCAGCTTTAGATCTTTAGAGGTATGCATTTATTCACTGAGGTAATTTCTGAGTAAACTGGACTTGTTCTCTTGGAACTTACACTCTAACAAAAGTATAAAAATCACAAATAAATAATTATTCATTCATGTGAAGCCTGCTTTAGGAGAGAAGTAGGGAGCACTGTATAAAGCATCAAGGGGAAACATATAGGCAGCCAATCTAGGAGATAACATTAATATTCTTCCATTGAATAAAAGTTTTATTATTCCATTAAAGTAAATCCTCTGAAGTCCCTGATCTGTTTCTGAAATCCACACAGAGAACACTATTCAGTATAATTATGTTCAATAATAAGTGTTAATAGGCTAGATCAAGCAACCTTGAGGTAGTCAGAATTTAGGTCCTGTTAAAGTATATCCAAACATAAGTTAAAACCTATTTTTCATGACAGGAAAATATCTTCTAACAGAGCAAGAAGGCAAGCAGCTGTAACCCAAGACTACCAGTAAGGTGATAAAGCGTCCTCCCTTCCCCCCTTTACATCTACGCCCCTGTTCAGCATGAAGAAGCCAGAGAGTCGGCATCCAATTCCCAAATCAATAAGACAGTTGGTTTAATTACCATTGGAAAATGCTTGTCATTTGTCTGTAGGATCTGGTCCCCTCTGGACCCTCATTATTTCCTTCACCTGCTCCCCCCACCGACCAAACTATGCAGCTCTGCAACTGCATCCTGGCCCATCCTCACCCTTCTGCCCCCAACCCTCACCTCCTTGTACCCCCAATATGTTTTTCCCAATTAAAAAAAAATTAAAAAACACTATTTTTCAAATTGATTGATTTACAAATTGCATAAGGCAGTGGAACTTGGAGATAAACATAAAACTGATTGTTTTATCAATATAACATAATATTTGATCGAACTTTTTTCTTTGCTAAATTGTTTGATCGAAATTCAGATTAACTCCAGATAAAAACTCGAAACTACAAATCTCTGTGCCTCAGTTCTAATTTTCTCAGGGCATATTACAAGCAGTGGAATGTCTGAGTCATATGAAATTTCTTTGTTTAGCATTTTGAGGAAACACCAAACTGCCCATCAACAGTGTATAAGAGTTCCTATGTCTCCATATTCTCTCCATATTTATTACTTGCTGTCCACAGCAGTATTATTTGCTACCTCAAGAACATAGAAATAGCCCAAATATTCAACCACAATTGAATGGAATGAGAAAGTATGGTCAATCACATGATGGAAATACTACATAGCATGTAGGAGCAATAATTTTAAAAATTACTACCTAACTTTGAACTGTGTGGATCATAACAAACTGTGGCTGACTCTAAGAAGAATGGGAATCCCAGAACACTTGATCGTGCTAATGCAACACCTATACTTGGACCAAAAGGCAGTCGTCAGAACAGAGCAAGGAAATACTGCATGATTCAAAATTGGGAAGGGCTTACACTGGGGATGTGTCCTGTCTCCATAACTTTTTTTTTCTATAATTATATTTTATTAATTTTCATAAACATTTACAGAGATTTTGGGTTTCCATTCATTCATTGTTGCACTATTCTCTTTACCCTCCTCCCAGTTTGTTCTTGTCCAAATGCCACAGTGCTTGTCAAAGCCAGTTCTGATTAATCTTCTTTGTCAGTGTGTCCTTTGCCATTCCCTATCACTCCTCCCTGAGAGAGACTTCACCCTGAGTCATAAGGAAAAGGGGATGACATATTCTCTTAGCTACTTCCTGCTGAAAAGGGACGCTGTGGGTTTCAGGGTGAAGATCTTCTCTCACTACTCTAAAGGGCCCCTTTGGCAGTAGGAAACACATAGACTATTATGGAGATTGATTTTGGAATTTAGATGCACTCTTATTGATTGTGCTTGGCTGTACATGTTCATATCCTTGAAGATGTATCATGGGGGTGTTGCAACCTAGAAGACACAAATTTGACTAACAAGTTATAAGTACATGAGTCAAAAATTATGGAAAAGTAAAAGAAAAGATTCTTTCATTGTTTTACAAACCCTCCCCCAGGTCCCCTCCACCATGTAGCCCTCGCTCTAGTCTCCTGTGATGACAGAAATACCTAGTTATATATCTCTTTTAAACAGTTTTCTCCCTCCTCTGTTTCAGTGCAGTATACATTATTGAACCCATCTTACTCAGTCTCTCCCCAACCCCGAGGTTAGTCTCTTTCTACAACAGTGGCATCATGTAATATTTGTCCTTTTGTGACTGGGATATTTCATTCAGCATAATGTTCTCCAGAGTCAACCATTTTGAATAATATTGCATGAGTTCCTTGTTTTTTAATGCAGCATAGTATTCCATTGTGTGATTATACCACAGCTTCTCTAGCCATTCGTTTGTTGATGGGCAAGTCTGTGTTATTTGTATAACACGGGTTATTGGATGAGTCTTCCTCTCATACTGATGCCACATTCTTCCTCACTGAGTCCAGGTTTTCAAATAATTTGTTTAGCATATAGATTTAATAAGTATGGAGAGAGGATACAATCCTGACACATTCCTTTCTTCCTTTTAAACCATGCAGAGTGACTTTGTTCTGTTTGCACAACAGCCTCTTGGTCTAGGTATAGATTTTACAAGAGCACAATTAAGTGATCTGGGATTCCCATTCTTCCCAATATCAGCCATGACTTGTTTTATTTAACCCACATAGTCAAATGCCTTTTTCATAGGCAATAAAGCATAAATAGACATTTTTCTTGTATTCTTTACTTTCAGCCAGGATCCATCTGACATCAGCAATGCTATCCCTGGTGCCATTGCTTCTTCTTTATCCTGCTTGGCCTTCTGGAAGTACTCTATCTATATACTGTTCTAGCCATTTTTGAATGATCTTCAACAGTAATTTGTTTGCATGTG